CTGGAAAAATTATATCATAGTAAAATTATATTTGTGTAATGAAATTAGTAATCATCTACTATAACGAATAATTCGTTTACGCTATAACGAAGATTCTTATAATGAAGTCCTGATCGGCTCGATCGGCAACTTTGTTATATCGAGGTGTGACTGTAATATCATAAATTATTAAAAATAAAAAAATGTAATATAATAAAATAAAAATTTATTTTAAATAAAACTATTATTTTATTTTAATTTTAGTTTTTTATAGATTTATTAAAAAATAAAGATATTATTTCTTTATTAAAAAATCTTTTAATTTTTTAAAGATTAAAATTATTATATATTTAAAATATAATTTAAAATTATTTATTCAAATTTAATAATAATATAAAAATTTAAAAACTAGCTTTAAAATTATTATTTCTTAAAATAATAAAAATATATAAATACAATAAAATAAAATTTTTTTATATATGTTTTATTTATTAGTATTTATTTTAATATTATAAATAAAGTTAAATTAATTATTATATTAAATTTAATTATAATAATAACTTTATTTATATAATTATTTTACTTTAATTCTTGTAACTATTAACCATTATGTAATTCAGCTTCAATTAATTTTTTCCATAATAATCAAATTCCTTTTGAATAATAATCATAAATTTAGCTATTCAAGTTTTATTATATTTATATTATTAAATTAATATTCTATTATTTAGTAAAAATTAAAAATATGCTGCTTAACTTAAAGAAATAGAAAATAATCTATATGTAAGTTCACTTGAATAAAAATAAATAATCATACACAAATTGTTGTAAAAATATTTACCGTTTATCCTTAAGTCTTGATTTTTTCTTTATTGATTCTATCATAATAGTTGTGTCAATTCTGAAGGGTTGTTATTAAAATTATGTTCAGATTATATGTTTACAATCATTTTAATAGCAAAAAATGATCCCTATATTAAATACATTTAACTTCATAAAGATGAAGTTTTCCCAAAAGTTCGTCTATTTGAAACCTTCATAATGTGCAAAAGTCTGAAAGATCGGTGACAAAATTAAAAGGCCAATTTAATATGAATGATATTTAATTGTAAAAGAAATTTTTTTTTTAATCCAGTGACAAAATGAAAATTAACAAGGCTGCGTAGACTCAAGCACTTTTTGCACCAGACTATAGCATGTTATAAAATTTAACAATTTAATAGAATTTATCGAATTCATTTTTGTTAGGTTTGAGTAAAATGTATAAGATATTTCAGCACTTCCGTTAAAATGAGATCTTATAGAGTGTATTGTTATTCTGATGCATGCATGTATTAATAATTTGTATCACTTATACTCGCATAAAGTCAAAGCTCGTAATGTTGAAGTTCATTATAGTGGACACCAAGTAATAATAATGAAATTTTTTATTTTTTCGATTTATCTAATTTTCGCTCAATATAGTAACCACTTTATAAAATCTCATTTCATGTGATTTGTTAAACTAGATTATGCAAAGAAAAATATATTTTTTATTTTTGTCATAAATACACAGACTACAAATTTCATAAATCATCTGCCAATACAACAAAGTCAAGTTCTAGTATTTCACAAGCTAATATACGTATAAAATGAGAAAAGGTATCACTACTTTTATTTTAAAAAAAATCTTTGCAGCAGCATTATACGTTTTATCTAATTATTTCTTTTTTTAATCTTGACCAACCTTTAAAGATTGCAGTGATATGGAATGGCACCACCGATTAATTCAATTTCTACTTTATAATGAGTTCTTAAATGATGTTTAATTATTTCGATGGGCACCATATAGGATGCATTTTGGTCACCACCATGAAGTATTCCTAACAGCTGATTATTTTCGTTAAATATTGGAGAACCAGAATCTCCTTGAGCACCTGTATTGAAAATTAATGATGAATAATATTAAACTGCGGAAGAAACTATTTAATAGTATTGACTTACCAAATGATGATCCTAATCGTCGAGAAAATATTTTTATAGCAAGGGCATATCTTGGAGGATTAAAAACTGTAAATTTAACAGAATCCCACTCATCGACCATAATTCCTTCTGTTACATATGTCGTTCTCCCAGATTTCTTAACATAGTTCTTATTGTATGAATTGTGACCTATATTAGAAAGTTCCTCAAGATTACAAATATTGATCCCAGATCCAAATGGTATATTTGGGTTTATTGAAACCCTATTATCATTACTGAGTCTGCAAATAGCATAATCAATGAGGTGACCATTGGCGTCGGTATTTAAACAAGTGTATTTAGTAATTGAAGCACAACCCTTCCAACCCTTTATCAAAGAAATATACATATTTATAAATTAGTAAAGTAAACCTATGAATAGTCAATCCCTTATAAGTACATACGTTGTCTAAGGTTCCTGGCTGGCATACTACACTGCCTCTTTTTCCAAGTCCATGTTTTGTAGTAAGAATGTAAAAACCTTTGAAATTCTCTTCAGATCTCTTTTTTATTCGAATTAACAGACCTATGGTACATGCATTCTTGATAGGAAATTTAAGTTTACCAATACTAATACCCGGCACAAGCTTTTCATGGTAATTGCGATGGAAAGGAATGATGACATCGTAATCAATAATCAAAGATATGCCCTTAAATTTAATTGGAAGAGGAAATGGTAATAACGACCCCTCTGGCAGGTCCATAGAAACAAGAATAACTTCTTTCTCATTAAGCCATCCTGCAGATACTGTGGACATTTCATAACTCCAAAATAATTCTTTAAAGGCACGCCCAATAAATAATAATTCATCAAACCGATCATTTAAAATTACGTGAAATTTTTGTTGTTCATCACGTTGTGGGAGTTTTTGAAGATTTCTTTGTTCAAGTATTTGTGCACGAAAATCAAGCCAAGAAAATCGTTTGTTCAACAAATGTAAATATATCTAAAAATAAATCAGTTCATTATTAAGGAGAACATCAGGATTAAATAAAAAACAAGAAATATACTTACGATTATGTTTTCTCTCATATACCACATTAAGTTTTCTCTCATGGTTGCTCCTCCACAAGACTCTCTTTGATTTTGCTTGTTCATTTTACGACGGATTTTTTTTGCCAATTTTCTTACTCGCTTTATGTATTCAGTAAATGAATCCATCATAATTATGTTTGATTCATAAATTGATTTGATTTGAATTCCTACATCGGTACGAACAATTTCACCTTCTAGCTCGAAGGAATCTTCCTTGAATATAACCTTATCCATAGGAATAAGTTCTTTCATATCAGTACAGCTCTTAAAATTGATTCGATATTCAGGCAATTCGACAATAAGATGTAGATATTTTTCATTAAGTTCATGAGGAAACCAAGAAGAAATCTTCATTGTGACTGGCATCTTTTCACCTCCAAGTTCTTTCTCGATATCTACATCAAACCTGTTAAGCATAAGTTCATCAGGGTTGATATTAACCCTCCACAATTCTATATCATAGTTAGCAAGGTACGGTCTTTCCTCCTTAATTATTTCTTTAAGACTGCTAATAGTTAAATCCTTTTTTACGTAAATTGAAAAAATATGATTATTTTCTGGAGTGTCGATATAAGTGATACAATTAAGGTTAATAGATGATCTAACTAGATTATATGGGATAATAGAATCACTCATGATTGTAGGGTATAATTGAGTTATAATAAAAGAGCTAAGGAAAGGACGTAAAGATGTAAAAAAAAAAAAAAAAAAAAGACAGAAAGACAGAAAGAATTAAATAACGCACTTTTTTTTATACTTTTTATTAATCAATCAATTAATCATCAAATTCATATGTCTAAACTCGAAGCTCTTACTCTTAAAAATTATATTGATTAATTTCGCATGAAATATGTAAGTAATCCCTTGTTATGACGTTTATGAATATTTGAATATATCATCAAACTTATCGCATATTCAAAGTTCTACTGTGCCTTAATACTGTCGGATCTTCTTTTTCTTTTCCGACACGTCTTTGGACAATTTTCTTCATCTCAGCTATACACAAAGGAAGCCTATCCTATCTTTTTTTAGATTTATTTATTTGGCGGAGAAACAAATACGATCAGGAACCAATTCACCATAATAATTTTCATATTTCATTTTATCTTCAGTTGGAAAGATAAGAAAGGTAAATTTTTCATGAATAATTTGCAATCGTATTTTTACGTATAAAAAATTCAAGATGTAATCTGTCATAAAAAAGTGTTAGGTAAATATAGGTAAATAAAAATTTTAAAAGTGCAACCTTTTAAGAATTAAACAAATTCTAATTTTTATTTCTTTCAAAAAACGCAGAAATTTCTGTAATTCTGTAATATTGTGACTTATACGCTGAAAAGAGTCGGCTCCAAACGACAAAGTAATATAGAGTGAGATCTTATCGATATCTGTTGTAAATTGATAAATTCAATTTACTACCCATTATATTCTGTTGAAATTCCAAAAAAGAATTTTAATTGTAGCTGAAGGAGTCGACTAAACTTCGATAACAACTTAATTGTAATATATTTCCAAGACGAATAATAGCCCCGTTAGACAAATAATATGTTAAACTGCCGGGAAAATCAATTTTCTGGGTAACCAAAATTAAATTTTTTACGTATAATAATAATAATACTTGAGTTTTTTTTTTAGACTCGGTGAAGTATTTAAATTTAAATTACGAAAAATAAATAAATACTACCTACCGAATGGCGCATTAGTATCCCCTTGTAAGTACCCCTCTGAATATTATATTTTAACTCTAATTATTTCATTCTGATCAGTTATTTGTAAAATTCGCATAATCTGTGAAATTTGCATTATCCACGAACAAGAAATTTATATATTAAATCATCTAAAATTTTAAAGTTATTTAGAAAATCGATTGTAAATTAGGAGGTGTAACATCTAGAAAAGAAAAGCAATTGGCCATAAAAGTCTATAGAGAAAACATATAAAAGGAATGATGCATAGAGATTTCAGATTAATAAAAAAAAGAGAAATTAAGCATAAAGCAAAATAGATGTAAAAACTATTAGCATTAGGTTTTATCTTGATATTAAAATAAAAAATGCCGGAAATATAATCTAGGACAGCTTGTTTTTCTAATCGTGTGGTTTCGGAAACGTAAATGCTAACTCGTGATATGCTGATCTCTTTGTTGTTAGACCAAATTTCCATTTTTGGAGCTATGAAACTAGATTTGGGTTGACAATTGTTGATGAAAATATCAGTTCTGACTCATTATTTAGTTAAGTGCCATTGTTCCGTAGGATAATGGTTTTTTGTGTCACCAATTCTTTCTTTTTTTTTTTTTGTTTTCAAAAGTAGTCATGAATTATGTAATTTGTAATTTCTTTTAAATATTTTTGGATACTTATAATGAATGTACTTGAATACTTTTGTTAACTCCCTCCCCCGTTCAGTATAGAATAACGAACATGCGTTCATGTTCGTGTGACATAGGGAATATAATTTCCGTTCTTTTCTTTTAAAAATTTTTGATTTCTTTTAGGAAACCTTTATATTTTTAGAAAATAGAATTAGAAATGATCAACATAGATTGTTCACCAAAAATGTATGAAAATCAATGAATAGCCGACGAAACATGTTTTAGAATTTTACCAATTTCTTTTTGAAGATACAATGACAATATAATTTAAAAAAAAAAAAAAATTATAAATACATGTGGGAATGAATGGAGTAAAAAATTTAACTTTGAAAATAACAACGATAATCATTTTAATAACAAATTGTTCATTAAAAAAAACCCCCCACCATTACATAAAAATTTCAACCTAAATTCCTTTCGTTAAAAATAATGGATAACAAATTTATATACAAAACCGGCGAACAAGGAATAAAATATGTTCCAAAATACGATTTACATGGTTGTAGTAAAAAGCAAGCATATAAAGAAGTAAATAATGTAATTTTAAAATGTTCTGAACTCGAAATAAGTTCAGTAAATTTCATTACTGGTAAAGGAAATCATCAAAATATAAATGGAGAACGAGCAGTACTCTTCAAAACTTTTCCAGAATGGTTAAACGACCCAAAGTTATCAAGCTTGATTAAAGATTGCGTTCGTGGAGATGGATCTTACAAAGTTTATCTTAAAATTGAGGAAAATAAAACTATTAAAAACGCTAAGAAAAATAAGAACAACGTTAAGAAAATTGAAGAAAATAAGAAGGATGTTAAGGAAATTAAGAAGAATGTTAAAGTAATCAAAGAAAACAAGAAAGTTGTTAAGGAAATTAATGATGTTAAAGAAATCAAGGAAAATAAGAAGGATGTTAAGGAAATTAAGAAGAATGTTAAAGTAATCAAAGAAAACAAGAAAGTTGTTAAAGAAATCAAGGAAAATAAGAAGGATGTTAAGGAAATTAAGAAGAATGTTAAAGTAATCAAAGAAAACAAGAAAGTTGTTAAAGAAATCAAGGAAAATAAGAAGGATGTTAAGGAAATTAAAGGAAATAAGAAGGATGTCAAGGAAAATAAGAAGGGTGTTAAGGAAATTAAAGAAATTAAGAAAGTTGTACAAGAAATCAAGGAAAATAAGGATAAGAAGAAAGTTAAGAAAAATAAGAAAAAGAAGAATGCTAAGAATGTGGTGAAGGCGGAGATTATGGAAAAGAAATTTGTTGAAACGAATGATTTTGTTACGGAAATTAAGACCGAACCGAAAACGAAAATATTTACAAAAGTATTACGACGACTTTCTGCGTTATTTCAATCATTTCGTTCCAGTATTACGAACTGTATATCGAAGATCTGCATGTTCTTTTAGATATGATCACCCATTTTACTTTTTTGAACATTTTTTTATATTCCTTGGGCAAAATTTGCTCATCGCATAAATAGATAGCTTACATAATAAATATTTATATACATCACATCATATTATATTACTTAAGAAACGAATTTCACGTGAGAAAATCGTATATATTAACCATAAAAATTCCGATAATCTAATGAATAAATGTATTCGATAAAGCGTCCAATTCTTAATAACCTGCACTTGAATTCGCCATTAAATTGTTTTCTGCCGATATTTAAATCAAATTTTCGAATAAAAAGAACAAATCATAACCATTTTTCTTCTTCAAGTTCGATTATACAAGAACAATTTTCTTCTCCTTTACCACCTCCTAACCATTTTTCTTCAAGTTCGCTTATACAAGAACATTTTTCTTCTCCTTCACCACCTCCTTCACCACCTCCTACGCTTCCTCTTGTCGCTTCAAACAATAATGAAACTTCAACAATAAAACCAGTAAAAAGTCCACATTTTTCACAATATTATTTTAATACTTATAAAGTTGTTAAAGATTTAGAAGTACAAGGTTTCACTAGAGGTCAAGCCGAATCTATTATGAGAGGCATGGAAGCTAAATTAATTAATAGGTACGAATTATCTTTTGAATTTATTTTGCAAAATTTAATGATTTGATTGATCATTTGTTTTTTTTTTTTTTAGTTTTAAGATACAGTCAAAGTTATTATCGAAATCAGATTTAGAAAATGTATTTAATCTTTAGAAATATCTCTTTTTATTTAACAATATAATTTTTTTTTCTAACTTCTCTTTTTTTTTGTAAAAAAAAAAAAAATTAATAAGGAATTATATTTATTTCAAGCAGCATTAACCGATTTTCGTACAGAAATGCAGATGATACACAAAAATAATTTAGTTGATCTAAGTTCAGAAAATTCTCTGACACAAAGAGAAGTTACATCACTCGATCAAAAATTACATGATGATATTGGTAAAATGAAACATCTAATACAATTAGATATAAATGATTATAAAGCTGATATAAGAGAAGAACAAAAAAAATTGGAAATCAAGATTCAAGAAATTAATAACAAATTTACTATTACTTATGGAGATATACGTACTGACGTTGAAGCATTAAAATGGGAAATTACAAGGATGGCATTAAGTATATTACTGATCTTTTTAGTTATTTGATCTTTTATATCGTTAATTGCTTTGCTAAATCATCTAATTGATAAATTGATGAATTGGTTTTCTCTGTAGTGGGAATCTTTGGATCAACAGTTTTTGCTCTTGGTGTGATGTTTTTTATTTCCTATAAAAAGTCAAAGGAAATTTCAACCAAGGATTCGATAAAAAATACTAAAGCTAATAATGGATCAACTACAAATGAAATATTATTAAATTATTAAATCAAAAGAACATTTACTATTTGAATAAATAAATTTCACTTCGATATGCCGTGTTAATTTAAATTGATAGATTCGATTATTTCATGAATTTTTATTCACAAGCTACAATAGTATTAAGATGATAATACATGATGAAAAAAAAGGAAAAGCCAAAAGCCTATAAAGCTAGATAATATATAAAAATTTGCAATTCAAAACTCAAATTTTTTCTTTAAATTAATGATTTTACGATGTCGACTTGGTTGAACTTGATGAAACACTGCCAGGCCTTTTTGGCCTTGGATTTGCCCCAGCAGAACGTGCAAATATACCTAAAACATCTGTCAAGCTTACAAGTCCTATAGCTTGCATTCTATCGTCTACAACCCAAACTCTATGAGCTTTAGTAGCTACAAGTTTAGCAATCGTGTATCCCAATGTGGATGTTAGCCGGACATCAAAGACTGGATATCTGTCTTGTCCATCTTCTAATCCTTGTTTGATTCTCACATGATTAACAAATTGTTTACATGTTCTCCACATCAGAGAATGACTATAGCTCCTAAGAATGTACTATTTAAAGACAAATTAAAATAGTCAATAAATTACCAATTCAGTTTCAAAAGAAATTCAGATTAAAAATCCTTGCACAAACTTTGACATCTGTCATACTAATATTTCCCATTAGAACTCCATCATCGTTAACAATTGCAATCGAACTTAATGAATTTTTATCTTTAATTAAAAGTTTTTAATTAATATTAATAAATAAATAAATAAAAATAAATAAAAATAAAAGGTTTTTCATGGCTTACTCATCATTGTTAATGCGTCAAGTACGAAAGAATCGGCTTGGGCAGATATCACAGTGCTTCTGCCAATATCAAGATCTTTAATCTATAATTTAAAATATGTGAGCGTTTTAGCAAAAAAAAAAAAAAAAATTGGATTATCGTAATACAATATACGTTACAGTTTTGGGAAATAGTTGTTCGATTTTAGGAAATTTCATCACCTATAAAAAAATAACATCACAAACGAATTATTATTTTTTTTCCTTTTAGATGTATTTTAATCCGAAATTGTAAAATCAAATCATACATTCTGATATAGGTAATTAACAACTCTTGATTGAGATAATATGCCCTTCATGTTGCCATCCGCATCGACAACGACAACTAAATTAAGCGTTTGATTTCGTATATATTACACAAATTAAAACGATCAATAATAATAATAATAATAATAAATACCTCTATGAGTTCCACTTCCAAATAATTCAACAACTTGTAGCAATGAAGTTTCGGGAAATACCGAATAAAAAGGATTTTTGTTGGATAGATCTATGAAATTTCTTAGATTTATTATCAGAGAAATTTATTAAAGGAAAATAGAATTTTCATTTTAAATTTACCTGAAGCCAATTTAACAGGAACCGGTTGACATTGTATTGCCAATTTCAATAAATCATTGAATTCGGATGTCAATTCTTCATCAGACTTTTGTTGCTGTTCTAAAATATCCTTCTTTTTCAAAACAATTAAAAGATAGGTCATGACATCTGCCCAATCAAACATTCCAACATAAGTTTTGCTTTTATTGTCATAAACTGGAGCAGAAGATATATTATTTTTAATAAGAATCTAATAAACGAAGTACAAATGCTTAGTTAAACATAATATTCGAACAAAAATTAATATATAAAATAAATTCTTACATCACAGGCATCTTCTATGGTAGCTTCACCGTCACTTGAAAAGAGAAGAGGACATGATTTTTCTGATCGAGAATAATAAAATGCAACCATTTATTTAATGACACATACATTATAATAACTTTTTGGTTAGCTACAAGTTCAATAGCTTTTATCAAAGTCCAATCGTGGGTCTCGGTGGTGAGACCTTCACGAGGCGCCTCGTCACCTGAAGCAGTTGAACGACGCGATCTCGGCAGTCCAGTTACCGGATCCATTCTTAATAAAAAGAAATTACACTGTTAATTGTTCATGTGATACACGAGAAAATTTTTTGTTCAATGAACACAGTCACGCGTAATTTTATCGTAGGAATTAGGTCATCAAATTTGTGGAATCGGCGAACTAACTATTTAAGATCAAATAGATATTTTCCCATCCAATATTTTTTTTTATCCAGATCAAAAATCATTTCTTTCATACCGAAATATACTTGCATGCAATATTTGTTTGGTGATAAAAACTCTAAAGTGAGAGGGGCATATAAATAAATATCAAGATTAATTTTATGTATTTTTGAAAAATATCCTTACATTATTTTATATTTATAAAAATATTTGTTTATTATATGAAATAATGAAAAATTTGAAAATTGATATTTTGATATATGATCGTTAGAATTTAAACTAATATTCTAAAAGAACATGCGGATCCAGTTCGTAATACCCGATCGCAATGATTGAAATAGCGCAGAAATTCGTTGAAAAACATTTGTAAATATGTTCTTTCCCGGTTTGGACCTAAAATAATTCTTTTTAGCATATTTATTAGTCTCTTTCTTCGCTGCATTCTTAATATTCCTAGCACTCTTCCTTTCCTTATTTTCCTTAACTTTCTTCTTGCTTTCCTTAGCATTATTCTTAACCACATTCTTAATAGTTTTATTTTCCTCAATTTTAAGATAAACTTTGTAAGATCCATCCCCAGGTACGGAATCTTTAATCAAGCTTGATAACTTTGGGTCGTTTAACCATTCTGGAAAAGTTTTGAAGAGTACTGCTCGTTCTCCATTTATATTTTGATGATTTCCTCTACCAGTAATGAAATTTACTGAACTTATTTCGAGTTCTGAACATTTTAAGATTACATTATTTACTTCTTTATATGCTTGTTTTTTATTTAAACCATGTAGATCGTATTTTGGAATATATTTTATTCCTTTTTCGTTGGTTTTGTATTTTAATTTATCCATGATAAACGAACGAAAAGTTTAGAGAAAGAATTTATCTTGAAATTTATGTTTTTTTTAACAATTTGTCGTCGGTTTTTTTGATGAAATGTTTTACCAAATGTTTTACCTCACTTCTATTTATAATTTTTTTTTCAAATTAATTATAATTGTATCATTGGTTAAAACACTTTTAAAACGTTTCGTTGAATCGTCTATGTATACATTTTTAGTGAACAATCTACCGTCGATCCTTTCTATTTCTATTTTCTAAGAATGAACATCTCAATAATACTCCATATGCTACACATCCACAATCTAAACAATTCGTAACAAAAAAGAAAGAATTTGAAGCACAAAAATCATTTTCCTGCAAACAGAAATGAGTCAGATGATGTTGATATTGGTAACGCAAAATTTCCTTTTTTGGAAATATGAAAACTGAATTTAGATTGATACAAATTTCAATTCGGCGCTTACAAAAAAGATCTGCTCAAAAAGCTATCCAATGATTTAGAAAGAGAAGATTGGGACTGTTTTTAGTTCTAGTTTCGCGAATCGTTCTTTAAGTTCAGAATTCTCGTTCATGAGCAATATCCGGTTTATTTTCCTTGAATTAAGCACACTCGCCGCCGCAAATAACATTTACAAAAAATCTATCTGGTATTTATTACAATATCCAATTTTCGTTTGCTAAATTATTTGTACTAGCACATTTTCAATACATGTTCCGCTTCCATATGTCCCAATCATCGATATTCTGAATAGATTAAAAAATGTTCGTCAATTTTACTCATGCATAAATGAAACATTAGTTTAGTAATCTTTGCATGATGCTTTGCATCTGGAATTTTATACGATGAAAAATAATTAAGTCCAGAAGTTGAATGCACAACCGTTACCGAAAATACCATTTCTAAATATTTTCTTCAAACTGCAATTATATTGGCTTTTTAAGCGAAGAATTATAGTAAAAAAAATCCCGTGAAACCTTACGTAATCACGGAATCAAATCAACCGTGCGGACCGCGTAATTGAACCATTTTTGGTATCAAATGGTTTGTTAATAAGCGTCACTAAAATAACTTGGAACTTTTTAAATCATCTCACTAATATATATAACCCAAAAATATCAAGCAATACCAAAGATAATTCGTGAAAATATCTCGCATTTAGTCATGTTCTCAGGAAGCGGGTCTCAAGAAGTTATATATAAAATTGTGCGTCAATATACAAATGATCCAATTAAAGCATCCAAGATTATTGACAACATTTTGCGAGATCGAAATTTTGTGGTGTTCGATTTACTAAGGTATTTGTTAATCTCTCGCGTTAAATAAGGGTAGGACACGCCTTTGGAATTGGGATGAGTAAAATATAAATTTACATTATATATTTAATAGAAATTACTTCTAGATATTCTTGTTGAATACATTACTTTTTTGTAGGCCAATTAGGTAACAGTATATACGTGACTTGATGCACGAAAAAGTTATTCTTGATATATTGTATGCCTTTCGGCTCGAATTCTTTATTGATACAATAAAAGTACATGATATAGCTCGTAACAAGTATTTAGTTGCAAATCCAGAAGTCACAAATGTTCAACCACAGCCGAAAATGGTATATCTCATTCGTATAATAATCGCTTCTTCCGATTCGCTAGCACTTCTTCGACTGCGCATTTATCAAAATTATTATGAATAAAATATACAGTACATCTTTAAAAATCAAGCGAAAATTTATTATTTATTGTTTTGTAAAATAAACCATTGAGAAAAGAAGCCAGCCGGCTATTAGATCTGTATATTGATAATAATGATTCATTATTAATCTTGCTACCTCATACAAGAAAACAAAGATTTATAATAGTGGTTTTTACATAATTTCTTTATCATCTTTGATTTTTCGGTGTTCGGCTCTCCTTACAACCACTTTTCCAGAGACAAATTTTTCCTTTTCTGCTCTCTCTTTATAAGTTCGAATCGAGAGACAGTAGAACGAAACAATTTCTGTATGTAATAAATGAAAAAGGCAGGTGAGTGAAATAACTTGTACTCTAAAAGTTGGGCGAAATTCAGAATGATTAATTAACTTATATCCAACCTTGATTTGTAACATAACCCGCGCAATTTTAATGGTTTCTCCAAGTTCATCTTATTTTATAGGAAATTAAATTTGCCACTCAGATGATATATAAAATTCACCTCCCACGTAAACGACACGGATAAAAAAGGGTTTTGATACAAATCCATGCATGTGAAGTTTTGTATACGTATTTTGAAAGTGATCCACCATTCTATGCCGCCACTTTACAAGGCTTTTATATATATTCCAAAGCGTTTTCTGAGTCTTGAGAATATCCTTCGTATCTTCGTCAACTTTTGAATCGCATAAAGATAATTCTCGACCCCATGGTGAATCTTTCCTAGTTCGTGTTTCTGTTACTTCTGTTAGTGAATAGATTCTAATATATATAACAAAAGTTCGAGTCTATCATACCATGAACATATTATCGAAATGAAATCCTTCTGCGTTATCCGGAACATCTATTACTCCACTTCATCGATTCCTATGTGCTCTTAAAACCATATCTGAGAAAAAAAATTAGTACTTAAGAATGATAATGAAATCTACAGAAAGTCTAGGAGATGAGAATATATGTCGTTTAATAAACATGTCGATATTTCTTCCTGAATTCTTTTGTTGTGGGTCCCCTTTTCTAACATCTCACACCTAATCAAAGTTATAGTTAAAGAGGTGCATAATAAAAGCTGTGAATACAAGAATAACCAATTGACTTTCGTAAATCGAATCAATTCTAAGATATAACCAACAAATTTATCTAGGTAATCGTTTTCCTCAATAGAAGTAGATGCCTTACCACATGATTGGTCATTGTCAAATAATCGGATTCTGAGTTTGATTCATATGTTCTACAATTGCTCCATAAATTTCTTTCGGTTTTACTAATTCTCCAATTTTACAAAATTCATTGCTGTCCACCTAGGAATCAAAAATGCAGGTCAAATATTATTAAAAGAATCAAAATGCTTTATTGTCATAATAAGAAGCTGAAGATACCTCTAGCTGCCAGGTCTATTGAGAGCAGTTGAAATCTTATCATTCAGCTCTAAAAATTCCGCTTTAGAAAGCAATCTTTGGATCTGAACCTGAAAGATGCAAAGATAGCCTAGCACCAGTTCAAGATAACCAATTATTAAATGAATTTTTTGAGACATATAAGGAATATAAGACATATACTTCATTATCAGGTTCAGACTTATATAGAGAAAAGATGAAAAAAGCTTTTTTCAGAGATCTCAATCAAGATGGAAAGATCCAGTTTAGCTATGAGAACCCTTCAAATCCTTTCAATAAGTTATATAAAATTTTAGTTAAATTAGGAATACTAGGAATGATTCTATAAAGAATAGGTCGAAAGGCTTATTCATAATAGTTTGGATAAGAATACCTATAAAACATTATATGATTTACAGTAATATACTTTTACTGAATATATTATTTTTTGTATAATTTATCTGCTTCCTCAATCAAAGATTTTAAGATAATAAATCAAACTTGCTTTTTATTTTATTAATCTAAATTTACAAATGGGAAATTTTATATATTTTTCAAATAAATATGAGAAAAAAAACGCTTACAGGTGTTTTTATTATACTAGAACTATTAAAACAGATTTTACATTTTTTAGCAATAAATAAATCTTTCTATTCCACTTTATTTATTTGCCAACTTTAATACAAATGCAGTACTTCTATTCTATAAAAATGTAATAAGCTAAAGTAGAAACAATACTCTCAATTGAAAAAAATTATGAAAATAACACAAAGAAGACCAAAACTGATTTTTAGCTCTAATCTAACGCATCTAGAAATTTCACACTACCATCTACTTTCAGATAAAAATTCAATAATATTGCGCACTTATTTCCAAATATAATTTATTTAGATTTAAATTTTAACACAGGATTTAGCGAAAAAATACTAAATCAAATAACAGAAACATATCCAAATCTAAAGTATCTTAATTTGCAAAAGAATAAGTATATAAACCATAATGATAGGATAGTAACTGATAAAGATTTATCAGCAATTGCACAGCTATGTCATAAACTAGAATATCTAAATATTTCTTATTATATAGATTACTAGGATATCGATTTGTGAAATTATTCATTCTTGCCTAAAGCTTTAACATCTTAACCTTAGCTTTTATGAAATTACCAATATGACTATCAAAGAGACTACTAGTTCGTATCTTAATTTAAAATATCTTAATTTGGAAGAGTATTATAAAATTAGCAAAAAAGGCTGTAAATTAGCTTATTTCATTTAATTCAAATATCTATGTTAAAAATTTGTGTATACTAAATCTGATCTTATTAGAATAGTTAGAAATTATCTTATATAGCCCAATATTGCTAATAAATAGATTTTAGCTCAAAAACTTTTAGATCTAAATATATAAGATAATTTGCAGCGATATTCTAATCTAAGGTTAGATATATTAATAGTCTGAAGCAATGATCACCAGTTCAAAAGAATTTGCTAAGCTATATTGCATGTACTCATATATGATAAAAATAGGCTAATCACATAACACAGGTCGAACGCTGATAAATCAGGTACCTTTCTGATTGATCACTATTTTTTGATTAGCAATCAATAGATAGAAATCAGTAGATACTATAATCAGGTATGAATCGGTTAATATCATAATCATAATTATTAGATAGAATTATATAAATCGAGTTCTAACCCGATTTTATACTTATTTTAAAAAATTTATAACTATATATTAAATAGTAACAAATCAGGTTCAAAAAAAACTCTTTCTGCTGATCCGCCCGACTATGCCTCAGCAATGAAAAACACCAAAAAGTTTTAACAATAACCTGAGCAAAAAAGCTCAACGCGGCCGTTCTGGTTCGCCAACAAATGAAAGAGCAACTAAGAAACAACAACTTGATACCCCAGACTTCTCTACACCTATCAACGACAACAAAACTGAAAAAGATACACCGAAAGAAACTGAAATGGAGGTCGACCCAGTTCCTTCAACTTCTAACGACAAAGGCAAACAACCTGAAGTTCCTATACTACCAGTAAAAAATTATGGTGAAGACAAAAGCTTCGACACTACTGAAAACTTGCTTGGAACTAACGGCAATACTAACATTATTAACTTTGCCTGTGAAGACGACTCTCCCCTTTTCTTTGCCTACTGCGCCAGTGAATTTTTTTTCCCGAACACACAAACAAAGAAAAAATCAATCTGACCAATGAAATTTTCAATAGACCGCATCTATCGTCGTTCATTGGTGCATCGGTTAGACCACACCCAAACAACAAACAGATGAAAATTATTAGAATCAGTTTCTCAACTTGTGCTGACTTCGACCGTGCTATCACAATGCAAATTACCCAATTAGGCAATGAGACCTTCCAACCATTAGTCATTGAAAAATCAGCCAAATTTACCTCTGAATTATCAATCAAAATTACGGAGATCCCAATATTCACACCAGCCCAAAATATCAGATCGTCATTCTTCTTTTTTGGGAAGATTACACGTTGTACCATGATCACAAAAAACTTATGGCAACAAGCCACACTCACATTTGAATAAGGTACTGATATGTCACAATTGGACCAAGTGTACGGATACTTTGTTCTCAAAGATATGGTTAGAGTACATCATTGCACCCTCGAAAATATGGCCATTAGAAAAAAATCAAAATTTTCACTCAAACTTACTAACCTCCCCAAAGACACGAATGGAAGACAATTGATCCCTATTGGCAAAGCCGTAAACGCCACAGCATTTGTTATACCAAAATCTAAAGCTACTTACCGTAATTTGCAATATGCAGTTTTCTACTTCAAGAATGACGAAGACCGCCAAGCAGCACTGAATGGAGATACCATCTTCTTGGATCGCAAGAGGCTAATTTGAACAGATCTGGCTAGCAGACTTTGCTTTATATGTTCAGTACCAGGACATCGGTCGGATAACTGTCGAAAAGCAAGACAAACATCCAAAGATAGACAAATGCAAAATCTCTATCAAAGATATCAACCGGCACAATTCAAGAACTATACTGCGACTAGCAAACCCATTTCAAAGTCGATCACGTTTGCTCACATGACTAATAACAGAAAGGGAAAAATACTAGAGACCCCCCAACCACAACCAAAAAAGATTTTGCCACGTCCTTCTATCAATAATAGTAGACCAAACGGGGAAAATTTTCTCAACACAAGCATTCATGCAACGAACGATTGGGCAGATGAATCAGAATACCTCCACCCAAATTCTAAAGGTTACGCCAAACCCATTAACGATATCAATGATCACGAACAACCTGATAGAATGGACCTTCTAATGACTAAACTAGACGCAGTCTCAACTCAATTAGGTCGTCTTCATGAAGATCTACAATTCACCAATGAAAGAGTTTCTACTATGGAATCCCTTCTTAAAATATATTCGACTTCTCCAAAACAAGCTGCCATCATCAATGCTCAACCTACGGGCGAAAATATGGAAGAAGATGAATATATTGTACGACCTGGTATAGATATATCTAAATCTGTAATCACTATCCAAAAAATCGATATTAAAACCCTCCAAGATGAAAATCTACACCTTAAACGCAACCTGCAAGCAAATGTCGATAAACTGAATGAGGCCCTTAAAGTGGTAGACATGATGCAACACCTAATGATCAATGCAGGACAACTACATGACAGTCGTCGTATTCCGGTCGTCATGTTAGAAAAACCTAAAGATTTTTATAATGTAGAAGAGGAATCCCCACCCCAACAATCCCAATCTTAATTATGAATAATACAACAATTGATCCTTTTAACATAGTACCTAATCGACCAAACTCTTTACCTACCCTTAACATCATCACTCACAACGTTCTCTCATTTAAAGACACTGTCAAACAACAATTATTAATGAATCTATATG